TTTTGACGGCGCAGAGCGATATGCGCATGCGCGTGCCAGCTGTTTCCGGCCACGTGTTGCGCCATTTTAGTGGAGTCCGTTGGTCGTGGTGGGAGTGTGTGCACGTGCTCCGGTATATGAAGTGAAATGAAGTGAAGTGAAGTGCTCCGGGCACATGCCACCGAGTGATAGCTCTGGAATGATAGCTTAAATCAGCTATTATCGGTGGAATCCGTCGTGCGTGGCATGGGAGTGCGTGCCCCTGCTCCGGGAGGCAGTGAGGTGGAGGGAAGTGCAGTGCAGCAGTGCAGTGAAGTGAAGTGAAGTGCTCCGGGGCCGGGTGGTACATGAGCATTTGCCACCGACAAATGCCACCGACACCGACGTTGATCGACTTTGGTGAGTCTGACACGTTGTATCTTTTGACATTATCTTATATTGTTAAAGTGCTTCATATTCCGACTTTGGCAAATCGCGCTTCTTGGTCTGAAGGAAAGTTGTGTTGTTTGCGAAAATAGCTCCCAACAGAAAAAAAATCTTGGAACTGATTCAGTTTTTTTTTTGCTCCAGGCATGGGGCCTGGTCAGTTCTTCCGTCGACTACCACTTACAATGGAGGACAACTACGACAACAACACGGGGTCTACGGTTCCGTCTATCACTAAACGCCGTCTGGTCGTGGATGAGGTCGAACTTATGAGGTCGAACGTTCCGTTGGCCATGAACGGAACGTCGGTTCAACGACCCCCCCCCCCCGCCTCCCCAGTCGATCTCGCGTTAATCGTCGGTCACTGCGAGTGTGCAGGATGAGCGACCTTTCGTTATTTCCCGTGCGTTTGTTTGTGTAACTATATATTTACATTTGTTTTTCATGCAGATGATATGAAGTGTTAATAAATGTTCCATTATTATTTTTTAATTTTATAATGTGTTGAATGCTTGAAAGATGCACTTACACGGGAATATTGCAGAATGCAAAACACAATCATTGAGACTTGTAGTTATCACTTATCTAGGATATAACCTTTTTTGCACGTCTTTTCGGCCTTACACAATTTCCTTTTTGGTAATTGATTAGTCCTTTTTGCAGTAACTAGTGAAAGTATGTGCTGCTAAAGAAAGCAGTTTTGGCGAACTTTTCATGCAGCAGCTTTAACTAGTATAGATATTCTACTTTCAGCCCCAATGCTTTCGTTAGCATTATTCTACTTGTCGTGGGGTAACAATAGCGCTAAAACGATTCATATGGGAGTACGGAAGGTACTAACTGCATGCTATTCTTAGCACCTTTTAAAGTTTAGCACCGCTAGGGTACTGAAAATTGGTCTAGCAGGTGTAGGGTACTACATTTAGTACACGGGTGCTAAACAAATATGGGTACTTATATTAGCACCTTGATACTAAACTAAATCTCAGTTAAGTACGAATAAAATGCTTAGCTTAGCACCGCTAGGGTACTGAAAATTAGTCAATTGAAAAGTACCTCTATGGTGCTAAACTTTTTTTACAGTGTAGGTATTTCGGAGAAATATGAAGGCAGGGGCGGTCGCAGACTTGGAGTTTGGGGGGGGGGCCAACTTGGCAAAGGGGCCCCTGCGCTGACCCGGGGGGCCCGGTGCTAGCTTAAAGGGGCCCACGGGCGTAGTGTACGGGTGCAGAAATCTAGGCCATGGCCGGTGAAGCGGGGAGGGGGGGGGGGTAGGGAGCGGCACCCGAGCGGAGGCTCATTGAGAGCTTTGAGGGTGCACCATGTCGAAAAGGTACCGAAAAGTGCATTTTGAAGCATTGATTATGTCAATAATTCACGCAACTGTGAATGGACTACCGCAAAAGTAAAGGCGGCTAACTTTGCAATTTTCTTTGCAAAAAAAAACTTTGCCATTTTTTAAGATCATCGTGCTAAAACGTTTAACAGCGGCTCATCGGTATCTGTTCACACATGTGTTCTGACTTCCGTTTAATCTTTTTTCACTTGAGCACAAATGCAAATTTTGAAGACCATTAGGTACAGTAGCAAGACGGATAGTGGAGTGGATTCGAAAGACGGATAGTGGGCAAAATATCCTAAATTTGTCGTGCTGCATGGAAAGTAGTGTTGCTGAGGAAAGGGGGTTTTGTTCCAGATTATTGTGGATGCATAATACATTGTCTGCACTCACTGCAGAATTATTGTTGGTGTAACTGCGCCCACTGCACCCATGGTTCCTAGTCCTACACTTATGGGCCCATCGATAGCGCTTCGGCGATACCTATCGCCTAGAGGCTGAAATGGGGCCCGTAGAGTACGGTGTCAGACCCCCAGAGGCCGGCGTTGGACCCAAGGGTCAGCGAAGGGCCTCAAAGGCCCCAGGTAGGGCCCCAGAGGCTGATGTGGGCCTTCATAAGCAAGTGCGTGACGCCCAAAGGTAAGGTTTGAGCCCCCCAGAGAACATAATAGGGCCATCAGTGGCCGGTGTAGAGACCTCATAGGCCAGTTTGCGGGCCCCTCAGAGGCTAGTGTGGGGCCTCAGGTGTCGCTATGAGGCACTTAAAGACCGGTATGGGTCCTCAGAAGCCGACATCGATGGCCTTCAGAAGCCAGTACGGGGCACTCAGAGGCACATAAGGGCAGTTTCGGTCCCAGAGACAGAAATGGGACCATCAGAGGCCGGTGTGGGTCGTGGGACCTTTAGAGGCTGGTTTGGGCTCTTAGGGGCCAGTTTAGAGCCCTCAGAGACCAGTACAGGGCCTGCAAAGGGCAGTTTGAGACCATCAGAGACCGAATAGGACACTCAGAGGCTATAATATGGGTCCTTACAACAGGCCAGCATGGAGCCCTCAGATGTTAGGGTGGGGCCCTAAAAGACCGACATGGGCCGGCGTTGGACCCCAGAGGCCAGAAGAGGGCCCTCAAAGGCCAAGATGGGCCCTCAGACTAGGCCGATGCGGGCCCTTAGAGGCCGGCATCAGGTCTTCAGAAGCCCGTGCGGGGCCCTCAGAGGCTAAGGTGGGTCCTTACAGGCCAGCACGGGCCCTCAGAGGTCAGTGTGGGGCCCTAAAGATCAGCTTGGGCCGGCGTTGGACCCCAGAGGCCAACAGAAGGCCCTCAAAGGCCAAGATGGGCCCGCAGAAGCCGATGCTGACCCTTAGAGGCCGGCATCGGGTCTTCAGAATCCAGTGCGGGGGGCTCTCGGAAGCTAATATGGGCCCTTACAGGCCAGCATGGGGCCCTCAAAGATCAGAATGGGACCCTAAAAGACTAGCATTGGCCGGCGTTGGACCCCAGAGGCCAGCAGAGGGCCCTCAAAGGCCAAGATGGGCCTTCAGAGGCCGATGCGGACCCTTAGAGGCCGGCATCGGGTCAGAATCCAGTGTGGGGCCCATAGAGGCTAATGTGTATCCTTACAGGCCAGCATGGGCCCTCAGAGGTCAGTGTGGGGCCCTAAAAGACCGGCATGGGCCGGCGTTGGACCCCAGAGGCCAGCAGAGGGCCCTCAAAGGCCAAGATGGGCCCTCAGACGCCGATGCGGGCCCTGAGCGGCCGGCATTGGGTCATCAGAATCCAGTGCGGGGGGCCCTTAGAGGCTAATGTGGGTCCTTACAGGCCAGCATGGGCCCTAAGAGGTCAGTGTGGGGCCCTAAAAGGCCGGCATGGGCCGGCGTTGGACCCCAGAGACCAGCGGAGGGCCCTCAAAGGCCAAGATGGGCCCCAGAGGCCGATGCTGGCTCGACATCGGGTCTTCAGAATCCAGTGCGGGGCCCTCAGAGACACTTAAAGGCTAGTCTTGGGACTCGAGAGACAGAAATGAGGCCACCAGAGGCCGGTGTGAGGCTCTCAGACGCCGGTTGGGCCCCTGAGGCCGGTTTAGGGGCCCTCAAAGGCCAGTGGAGGGCCCTCAGAGGTCAATACGGGTCCTCAGCGGTCAATGTGGACGCTTGACCGCCACTGAAGGGCCCTCAGAGGTCAGTGTAGGACCCTCAAAGACTGGTATGGGAGCTGTTAATAGCTGGCGTGGGTTTCTCGAGCCTCGTGACAATCGAATACGGGCCAGGGCCCCATACGGCCATGGGGGCCCATCGGTTGTTTGGGGGGGGGGGGCCAAATGATATGATGGCCCCCCCTGATTTGCCTTTGGGGGGGCCATGGCCCTGATGGCCCCCCCCCTGCGACCGCCACTGTATGAAGGTCAGTCCCTACTTTGGCCAGACAGATGGTAGTAAAGGCATTCGAGTCTTGTTTCGTGCGAGTGGCTAAATGCAGACCTAACCTAATGGGCTGAAGGTGACTGGGAGTTGGGTAGGAGGTGGACAACGCCGCCCTACTCTCTCGCAAGTAAGGAGAGTTTCATGTACTCAACCTGTTACCTGTTCTTGAATTGATGGAAAAGGCAATGTAAATAATTTCTGGTTCTTCGTCAGGGCGTTATTTCGAAAACAGCTGTTCAGAGGGCTATAGGTAGGTTGCAAGGGCTCGATTTTGGACTAAGAACCCAGATAGTGCGTTTATTTATAATGCATAACGTTTTGTATCTGCATCTTTTACTGCTAATTTAAACAAAAAGGTGAGGGGTAGATTACTAGTTGAATACAAATATCATTTCAATAAGATACATTTTGGGGAAGGATAGTTCATATTTATATACGCGCGATCAAGTGACACCTGATGTCTGATTCCAGTAGTTGTGTTAGGTCATGTATCGTCAATTCTGAACAATGGTGATTACTGATCACCTAGTTATTGATGGTGCAAATAATATAGCAATAATCATTCACGATCAGGCGGCATCTTCACCCTCCGTGGACCTGCATTCGTCAGCCAGTCTGGGGTGTGTACGGCCTGCCGTCACCCAGTCTGGGGCTGTGTTCAGCCAGCCGTCAGCCAGCCTAGGGCTGTGTTCGGCCAGCCGTCACCCGGTCAGGGGCTGCGTTCGGCGGCTCCCTGTTTGTCGTTGCGACCACCCGCGGGCCGAGACGCTCGCGGCAGCGTGCCGGCGGCGGCGGTGGCCGGCGCCACTCACCCAATTAAGAGGGGAGAAGGGCTGCGAAGACCGGCAGTTGTGGCGCCGCCGCCGAGCCATTGAGATTGATGGTGGCCTGAGTTGGGAGCGGGAGGAGCCTCGGCAGCTGACGACCCGCCGCACCGACACAGGTGAGCGTGGTGACGTGATTAACCCACGGACGGTGACAGTCGGTAATGGGCTGACTTTACTTCTTCTATTAAATGATTTAGATATGTTGCGGGCCAAGTGCGAAGGCTAGTCCATTCGCGAATGGCCTAGTCCAAGTGCGATAACGCACTTGGACTAGACCGTTTGCGAATGGACTAGTCCATGTGCGTTATTGCAGTTGGCCTAGGCCGTTTGCGAATGGACGGGCGTTTATGCTCCCAGTCAAGTGCGAAGTCAGGCAAAGTGCGAAATATCCAGCAAAGTGACGTCAACTTGGCAAGTCAACTTGGCATGTGCAAAGTCCCGTGTGAAATGATGCATGCAAAAGCGCGAAAGCGATGCGTGAAAAAAGCCGCACCGTCCCGGTACACCACACCAGAGCAGAATGAATCGAGCGCCACAAACTCGACCAAGGTCAGGTCGGGTCATCAGCGGGGAGCCCGGAGCACGGTACTAATGGTCTCCGCACACCACGCGACTCTCCGCTGTTCGAAGGTCACGGGGATATTTGACCTCCCCAGATCCAGATCGGTGGCCGAAGCCTGGCCAGCGGCAACACGTTGCTATAATTTCCGCGTTGTGCAGGGTTCAGCGGAAAGTCGCATCCCGAATGGACCAGGTGTGTGGAGACCTTAACCCTATTAGTGGCAGGGGGGGGGGGGGGTGTTTTTATCCACCCCTCAGGTTTTTCGGGAATATCTCCGAAACCGCTGAAGCTACGATGCTAAAATTTTCTGACTTTTCCTAAAACTAAATTGGGCACATTCCCTGAAAATTTCAAGTTCATAACTTTACCAGGGGCGGCTCCAGAGCACTGGGAATTGGGGGGTCCTATTCGTGAAGCGAGTCATTTGGGCGAAGATCACGATGCTGCACCAGTTTTACGAACAGTGAATGAAAGGTATCATGTGATAACATATACAAAGTTATTGTGCATCCTCTTTTGACACGTTTTTGCTATAATAGGCGGATCCAGGCGTCCAAAAAGGGGGGTTATTTTTTACCTCCCAACATAGGTGCCCTGACACCGCCTATGCATGACCAATACAATTTTAGTCGTTCTCTCATAAGAAAATTGTAACATAACAAGACCATTGCCACCCTTTTTAGAAACAGTACCAACAAAAACCTTATTAACTATACTTTTTGTGTACCCCCAATCTCAATGATCTGTATCCGCCTATGATTTTTGAAAATGCATATTTTGAGGATCCGTGTGAATTCCTGGTTCATTCTCTATCGATCGGCAAAAGTTGCGTTAAGATTGGTTCAGAAACCTGGCCGTGATAAACAGTCTAAAATGTATCTGCAATTTGCCCGTTTTTACCCCCTCTACCCCCCCCCCCCCTATTGACATTTTTTAATTTTATTTTTTTAGAAAATGTAGATCTCGTTGAGCCAAATCGAATGCCGTTTGAATTTTGAAAATCGGCCGGTTAGATCTCGAGATATCAAGGGGGGGTCGTAAACAGCCCCCCCTGCCACTAATATGGGGTAGCCAGGAGCCTGCCACTAATAGGGCTAACCCAGAGTTGCGCCAGCTCGCAGATCTGCTCCGGAGAACAAACTAAACATATAGACGCAGTGGCGTCGCCACGGATTTTCGACTAGGGGATCTGGTCGGACGGTCAGTCAAAGTAATTCCCACCAAATTCTGAAAACTCCTCGGATTTATTTTAAATATGGAATTGTTGTACTGGGACATGGTAAATATTCAGAAACGAATTATTCGACACCAGTAATATGTATATGATCGGTAGCTTTCGGGGGCTGCTGCCTCCTTCATCAGCCTGCTTTTTAAATGCATTAGAACACAAGACAATACGTTTCAAGCATGTCTACCAAAAAGTAAACCGCCACGAGGAAAAGTTGTAACGGTACGTATCAAGCATAGATGCACAAAACAGTTTGATACATGATAACAAATAATAACACATAATTAAGTCGCCATCGTCCGTAACATCCGTAATAAAACATTCGACATTAATTGTGATCCGTGGTCGTAACAAACGAGTTCGTGATCCGTGGTCGTGACAATCGAGTTCGCACAATCGGGGTCATGACACATTAATCGAGTAACAATCGAGTTCGTAATAATCACGAACTCGAACCAGGGCCTCCTCTAACATACCCACTGGGTGGGCAAATGCCCACCCAGTCACCACAATTGCCCACCCAGTGGCGTCGATTTGCCCACCCAGAAGCAAATGCAAAAATTCTGGTCCGGCCGGACGTCCGGTACTACCTTTCTGGTCTTAAGCAAACTGGATGCTGTTTGAAGGCCAAAAAAAAGTTTTCTGGTTGCCCGATATTCAGGGGCGTAGCCAGGATTTCCTCAAGGAGGGGGCCAAACGCACAGGGGCCCAAGATAACCCCCTCAAAATCCAAAAAGCCATCTGGTTGCATCCAATATTTTTTGGAGGGGGCCCAAATAAATAGGGAAAAAATATTTATTAACAAAAATATTAGAACTTAGGGGGTAAGCAGTCCATGGGCCCTGTTAGATAGGCCCACGAATAGCTTCATAGAGTCGCCAGTCGGTTTTGAGGGCGGTCTGAGGGCCCGTAGGTCGGATGAGGGTTCTTCAGACCGTCAGAGGCCCCTACAGCGCATGAGAGCCTCGTAAGCCGTCTGAGGGTCATATAAGCCGCCTAAGGGCCACTAAGACCGACAAAAGCCCTCCTTGCACTTGCAGAGGCCCAGTCATGCCGACGGAGGGCTCTCTTAGACAAACTAAGGACCCGTTCAGGGCATTTGAGGGCTTTCTCAAACCGATAGGGCCCCCTCAAATCGACAGTGGATCCGATCCGAGCTCCCTCAAACCGATATAGGGTCAGACCAACAGTCGGAACGCATTGATTCTGTTTACACACCGTTGGACCCAAGTTGATCCCATCCCATCCAACTGGCCCCCTGGTTTCAATAGGGCCCCAAGGCTCTAAAATTGGGGCTCTCTTGGCCAAAGTATAACTACTCAGCTGTGTCAAAGGATCTGCCGCAGGGGCCTTTGCGTCGCCAAGGGCCCACTGTGTCAGCCAGGGGCCCCTATAGAATAAGGACCCCTGGCTTCCAGGGGGGGGGGCATGGTCCCTTTGGCCCCCTCATTGGCTATGCCACTGCAGGTGACAAACGTTCTTCCAGGCGACCAGGGGGCAGGGGCCAGGCGACCAGGCCCCCAGGCGACCAGGGGCCCCCAGGCGACTAGCCCTCAAGCGACCGGGGCCCCCTAGGCGACCAGGGGCCCCAGAAAACCGGGGGTCATCGGATGAGTGCAGGGGCCCATTGGGTCATCAGAAGGCCAGAGAAATGAAACTTCGATATCAATTTTCTTCCGAGTAAAAGACGTTTTATCCAGTGTTTGAAAAAATATCCCGGGGCTTGAGGGGCTCTCCCATGGCGCGTTTTGCGCTCAAGGGAGGGGGCCATTGCCCCCGTGGCCCCTCCCCCTTGGCTACGCCCCTGCCGATATTGTTATTCATGGACAAAGCCAGCTAAATCTCTAAATACGGCTGAGCTGAACAAATAAGCAAGAATCATTACCGGTTCGGGTAGCCTTTACTACAATGTATTATGTTAGTTAGCCCTCGCCCGATGAGGGGGGTTGATGCACCCCCCTAAGGCTTTTCACAAATAACGTAAAAACGGCGGCGCTCAAATTTCGCATACCCTCTGGGGCAACCTTTTGGCACTTGTCCTGAAAATTTCAGGTCTCTAGTCTTTTCAGGTCAGGTCACCAGGTCACAAACCCGGTACAAGGTCAGGGGAAAATTGGACTAACAGTTTAGCGGCAACCGAATGCCAGAGTTTTTCGTTGATAGCGTGAGTTCTATAGCACGTAGCGCTACCAAATTTAAGACACGACTTGGAGCATCTGTTTGTCACTTGGCCTTGGAGTTTTAGGTTCCAGTGACCCGAGGTCAGGTCACAAGGTCACAAAAACTGGTGCATTGTCAAAATAGCAAGAATACCGAATAAGAATACCTACCTACCACGCAGTTTGCAGAGGGCTGTACATGTAACTCTGGAACGAATCGCTCGAGCATTGCTAACAAGGGCGCACACAAGGGGGGGCACACGGGCCCGTGCCCCCCCATTCGAGTTGGGGGGCCCAACTCGAAGGAAGGGGCCATTTGAGGCGGCCGAAGGCCGCCTCAAATGGGCCTCTAACTAATCCTTAGACCACCGAAGACCGTGTACAACGGGCCCTCAAATGGCCTTAAAGGGCCCTCAGATGGTTTCAAAAGGCCCTCAGATGGCCTCGAAGGGCCCTCAGTTAGCGTCATAGGGCCCTCATCTGGTGTCAAAGGGCCCTTAGATGGTGTCAAAGGGCCCTCAGATGGTGTCAAAGGGCCCTCAGATGGCCTTAAGGAGCCCTCAGATGACCTCAAAGGACTCTCAGATGGCCTTAAAGGGCCCTCAGATAGCCTCAAAGGGCCCTCAACTAACGTCAAACGGACGTCAGAAGGCCTTAAAGGGTGTCAAAGGTCCCTGAGCTGGCGTCAGAGGGCCATGCCCTTGCGTCAAATGGCTCTCCGAAGGCTCTAAAGGGTCCTTAGCTGGTGACAGAGGGCCCCCAGCTGGCGCCAAATGGCCATCAGTAGGCCTCAAACGGTCTTCAGTTGGCGTCAAGCGGCCCTCAAAAAGCCTTAAGGGGCCCTTAGAAGACCTCAAGGGGCCCTCAGAAGGCCTTAAAGAGCGTCAAAGGGCCTTGAGCTAGCGTCAGAGGCCCCCCCAGCTAATGTCAGAGGGCCCTGAGCTAGCGTCAAACTTAAAGTGCCCTTAGCTGGTGTCAGAGGGCCCCAGTTGGTGTCAGAGGGTCATCCATTGGCGTCTAATGGCCATCAGAAGGCCCAAAAACGATCCTCAGCTGGCGTCCAACGGTCCTCAGCTGACGTCAAGAGACCCTCAAAAGGCCTCAAAGGCCCCTCGACTGCTCAAAGGGCATTTAGAAGGCCTCAATGGGAACTCAAGAGACGTTAAA